TCATCACAGTCAATGCTCCTTTAACAATCCGAATGGTTTCCCTATCCTCGTCAGCCTTAGGGATAAAACCATTCTTGTGCAAAGTGCCCAAGGAAATCAAATTCTTCTTCAAGTCTGGGATATGTCGAACACCACTCAACGTCCGAACGGAGCCATCGTGCATCTTAATTCTGACATCACCAATACCAACAATATTGCAACATCGATCATCACCCAAATAAACCGAACCAGAATTAACCGGCATGTATGTCGAAAACCATTCCCTATTTGGCGTGATGTGATAAGAACATCCAGAATCAAGAATCCAAGCATCCGTCAATTGTGTCGTTGAAATAGAAAGCATATCACCCTCACTGCAATCAGAAGTATCATCCTCGACCACGTTCACAGACTTGGATGAGCCATCACGCTTCTCATCGGTCTGCTTTTTCAACTTCGGACAGTCTCGCTTCATATGTCCCGCCTCCTTGCACTTGTAACAGTGAATCGTCTTCTTATCCCTGGATTTGGATCTGGAATTCCGCTTCCCGGACCCTGCCTTCTCTGGCTTCCGTCCACGATCTCGATTACCCTTGACATATAAGCTATCGGCTTGAGAGCTTTCCCCTGCATTCTGCTTCCGCTGGTTGTGAGCCAACAAGGCTGCAGTAATCTCCTCAACATTGATAGTCTCTTTCCCATATGTAAGAGTAGTCACCATGTGTTCGTAAGAGGAAGGCAACGAACACAACAGAATCATCGCTCTGTCTTCATCCTCAATTTTCACATCAAGCCGAGCCAGATCAGAAACGATTTGATTGAAGACATTCACGTGTTGCGCCAAATCGTGATCGTCCTGCATCTTCAGCCCATACAACCGCTGCTTCAGATACAGTTTTGTCGTTAAGGATTTGGACATAAACGGACTTTCCAACTTCCTCCAAATTTCGTCTGGAGACGATAGATGCATGACGTGATACATGACCTCGTCCGCCAAGCATAATCGTATGGTTCCTGCCGCTCGCTGCTGCAATTCTTCCCAATCTTCCTCATCCATCGACGCCGGCTTTGTAGGTCGCAAAGCCTTCAAGATCTCTTGCTGCGCCAATAGATCCTTCACCCTCGTTTGCCATAATCCGAAGTTACCCTGACCATCGAATTTCGCGACTTCGAATTTTGCTCCTGACATCTGATACCAATTGTTGACGAAAACGGGTAAAGAAAACGAAAGAACACGAGAATTTTACGAGGTTCGGCAATGTGCTTACGTCCTCGGTGCCTAGGCGGCGCTAGAAGTTTTATTCAATGATCTTTTTAGGTCTAGGTTACATCTCTATTTATAATAGAAAACCCTGGTACATAATTACAAAATCAACCCTGTACCGTACCGCGGGGGCTGCGCCCCCACACCCCCAACCCACATAATTCGTAACCCCACAACGAGACTTTTTATGAGCCATACATAACAAAAACGATAGCAGTAATAAAGAGGATTGTAAAGTTTAAATTTGTTCCGTTGCAATATGATTGAGAAATGTTTGTGGTAAGATGCGAGCAAATGGGGAACCGTGTGGGCCGTCGTTATGCTCTGATGTATATAGCATTGTCTCTATATTTGTCCTTTTACATGAGAAGAGTAATGGTTTACCAATAAGGAAGAATTATGGGGGAAAAGAACAAGAAACGCTGAAGCTGGAGATGCTTGCCTAAATTTGAGTGGATGGAAAAGTAGGCCTACTTTGATATAATGATATTTATTATAGAATATATAATATTCAAATTTAAATATTTTTAAACCAAGCTATTTGTTATGGCTTAAAAGTTTGGATTGCAAAAATATTTAACTTGCCATTGTGGTCTAGGTTGATTATTAAGTGAGTCAATCGAGAGTTGGACAATGTTCAACTCGTGTTAGTTAAAAAATTTTGTTGTTTGACTCGATTCGTTACTCATGAAGCTCGTTAAAATTTTGCTCGACTCATGCTCGTTAAGCTCATTGCTCATGAAGGTCGTTGCTCGTTAAGCTTATCAAAATTTCTATCTTATTTTCTGAACTATAGGTAAAATCTACTAATACTATATAGAGTTTAATATAAAAATAAATTAATAAATTTAATCAAAAATTATCAAAAGAGTGTATGGAGAAATTTCAAAGTTTAAACTCCAAAGTAACAATACACAAATATATTAAAATAATAAATAGGGTTTATTTTTTGGTGTAGTAAAATATTAATTAATAATTTATTATTATTTTTTGTTTATTAGAAAATTGATAGATTAGCAATTTATCATCTATTTATTATCTATTAGTAAATTAGTGATTTTTTTGAATGAAATAATTTTTTAAGATAACTACTAATAAATTATATATAAAAAAGTTGATAAGCTGCTTGACTCCACTCATTAAGGTCTCGAGCCGAGCTTAAGCTCGAGTTCAAGTCGAGTCAACTCGATTCGAGCTTTTGACCGAGTTGAGTTTGAGCTGCTCATGAACTACTCAACTCATTAAGCACCCTAGGCTATAGTGGTAAGCAAAACCCAACTCGATTCAAAAAATTGATTTTTTTGACTCGACTTGACTCGAATTGACTTCGAGTTGTAATTTCATAAACTCGACTAAAAAGATTTTAATTTCAAATCGAGTTGTAAAATATAACTTGAATAGCTTGAAATTTTTAGTGACTGGTGATTAATTTTTAAGTTTGAGTCGAGTCCCTCGACTTTATATAATATATGTATATAACATATGAAAAAAATATGAAGAAATATATATGTATTATATATGGTTATAAAAAATCAGTTAAATTGGAATCAAATAATGCCGCAATATTATGAATATTTACAATAAAATTTAAATATAAACTCAAAAAATCAATTAGACTCTAATCAAATTTTATAAATTTGGCTCAACTCGAAAAAATTTCAAGTCTAACTTCGAGTTATAAAATAAGACTCATTAACTCAAATAACTCGACATTTTTTAACTCAACTCGATCGAACACTCACCTTTAATGGTCTAACCCCTAATTCATAGAACCTTGTAAACTTTCTTTTTAATATTTACAAGTTATTGTTATATTTTCAAATGTATTGTATAATTAAAATACATATTGTTTTGGTATAATCACTGTAGAGGTGCTGCGAAACGAGTTTGGTTCAATTCAAATTTGTGTATGAGATTCTTGTAAAAAAAATTATGTATGAGATTAATATATTTTATACTTATCCAAGTCTGATCCACCTCGAAATATGACCTTAAAATTTTAAGATTAACCAAAAAATAAACGTTTAAATTATATTTTTTATTTAGTTATCAAAAGTTAAAGTAAGTGTTTAACATTTCATTCGGTTAACATTTTATGGTTAAATCATCAACTTTTGTTTAAAAATATGCTACCAATTGTTGTTTAATAGGGGTATTCAAAATCGGGCACTCACATTTGTGGGAACCGAAAATATTGAGTACCCAATTTTCTGGGTAGTATATTTGCTGGCTTGTGTCTTGATCCGTTAAGATCGGGTAATCGTAAAATTAGAGAACCACATTTTCAAGCCACAGGTACTAATTCATATATATTTTTATTTTATAAATTTATTTTTAAAAAATGAAACACATAAAATTTAAAATTTCATAATACATAATCCATACACAACATAAGTGATTTAAAGTTAGTTTTAAATATATATATATATATATATATATATATATATATAAGTTTATTTCAAAAAAATATTAAAAATATTAATATTGATTGCTATTTTTTTTCTTTGAATCTCATTTCAATAAATTAATAAAAACTTTTCTGAAAATTTTAAAACTTAAAATAAATAATAAAAGCCTATAAAGAATTTAGGGATTTATATTTAATTTCAAGATAAAATATTAAGTAACATAAAATAAAAGTATAATTTTAAACTTAAATATATAAATATTTCAACCCAGACCTGGCCAAATTATTCAGGAAAATCACGGGTCGAATATCCGGCCTGATGGGGTAATTTTCTTAGAGAACTACCCAATTTTTTTAGGTTTAAATTGACAGGTCAACAGTTCAGGTTAATCGGATCAGATATTTTTTAACACCCGTATTGTTTAACGTGTGAACTGATTTGTAATTTACGCTAATTTTTCATATTTAAAAAGATATAAAATTTTAAATTTCTAAAGAGTAAAGACCCTTGACATTTCTAATTTCTCAAAAGGTCTCTAAAATTCACTATATTTAAAAAAAAAAAGCTAATCCCTAGACGGCGTCTCCTCACCTCATCCTTTCCCCCAAGTCACCGACATGGTTGAATACTCAACCGATCATCCTCACCACTTTTCTCACAACCCTCCTCGTCGTGGTCCAATCGCCTTTCAAAATCCTATCTTGCATTGTTTTTCATCAACGCCAGTCCGTCGAAGCAACAATAGTCGATCACCATTGCATTTTTCAGTCATGCACACTCTGCCCTCCGTCAAGGTCCCAATCTACCACACTCGCTCTAATAACATCTGACGGTAACGATGAAATTTATAGATTTGGTATTGGAGAGATTTCTGGATTTTAAGGTTGATTGGAAATTTAGGGATTTTGGCGATTTTTTTAAAACATTATCGATTATATTTTTTAAATTTAAAGAAATCAATAAGCAGATTTGAAATTCGAATACTGTAATCGTGAATAGAACAAACATACCTACGAAAAAAAAAAACTCTCCTAATCGTAAAATATATGCATATTGTAGTTGCAAATTGCAACACTAGAAACAACTGTCCTTTTATTGTCTCCATCATATGATGGAAAATAATAACATATTATTCATTTCTTTTTATATTACTGAACTACACTTTCATTTAAATTATCTAACGTTGAAATATGCTTGTATTTACTGTAAATTACAGTTTCATAGTCAATATATAATGTTGAGTTATTAAAAATAGATGTATTAAAATTTATTTTTTCATAAAACAACTGATATTCGAATAATACTTTTGAAATTATTTAAATGAAAATGTAAAACCAAATACAAACAATAAACGAAAGTCTATAACTCACGTTTGATGCCTTGTGGGGCTGATTTGGGCTGTGTCTCAAGTCCAAAACCAAATGGAAAAAGTGGATCATATTTGGGATCCCCAACATTCATCGGGAGCTGATCTACGCTCTTAAACCACGTACGAGCCAGCTTGCCGGTGAATCCAAAGTCACCAAAAAGAACATCGGCCACGCCTTGTCCTTCACTCCCGGGGAGCCAAGCAGCCACCAGGGCGTCTATTTTGTCCAGATAATGCTGGATCACAACGGGACGCCCTGAAATGAGCACCACAACGCATTTGGTGGTCTTACAAGCGTTCTCTATGATTTGTGGACCAGGATCCGGAATGGTCAAGTTTGTGCTGTCACCTCTCGTCTCAGCGTAAGGAACCTCACCGACCACCACGATTGCAAAGTCGAGTTTTGTCTTCTTAGGGTAGTCTTCGGAAGGGTTCATCTTGTAGACCACTTTGGTTTTTTTGTCGACGGTTTTTTTCACGGCGTCAAGGATGGTGGTGCCTGCCGTCCAGTTGTTCCCACTGACGCCTTGCCACTCGATGGTCCAACCACCGCACTGATACCCCAAGTTATCGGCATGGGTTCCCGTAACAAGAATCTTACCGGCATTCTTCGGGAGAGGCAAAAGGGGTGGATTCCCTGGCTTCCCGTTCTTCAATAACACAAGCGATTTCCTCACAGCTTCCCTTGCCAACTCTCTATGCTTCTGCAGATTGGCCAAAAGTAACCCAGATTTAAAAAAAAATAGCAACAGGAAGTTAATTGAAACTGATTTTATAGTTTCTGCAACAAAACTCACCTGGGAACCAACCTCGTTAACTAGACTATAATCACCCACGGGATTATCAAAGAGGCCCATAGCGAACTTGACACGCAATATTCTTGTCACGGCATCATCAATCCGGCTCATGGGAATGACATTCTTCTTCACCAAATCAACCAAGCCATTGATGAATTCTATGTATTGGTAGGGAACCATAACCTGGGAAATCAGCAACCATTACTTCATATGACCATTTCACAACTTCTCAACCATAACAATATGTAATTCAGAACTAGAACCTACCATGTCAACACCGGCCGTTATTGAAGCTTGAATCGAGTAAGTGTAGTTGGAATGAGGGGGAGAGGTGATCCTGTCGATTCCTTCCCAATCGGAGATGACGAAACCCTGGGGACAAAATTAATGGATTCTCACTTGTTTTTTAGTAAATTTGCTACCAATAAACAACAATTTTATTTCACCTGGAACCCAAGTTTGTCCTTAAGGTGGTCGGTAAGCAAATGTTCATTAGCATGCATCTTAACTCCGTTAACACTCGAGTAAGAAGCCATGACGGTGGCAATACCCTTAGCCATCGAATCAACGTAAGCAGGCATGTGTATGCCGTACAAGGAGGAGTCGTCCACAATAGTGTTGTTCTCGTTAATGCCGTTGGCGGTGCCACCATCTCCGACGTAGTGTTTGGAACAGCCTGCCACCTTTGTTCTACATCATAACACCAAAGGGACGAGACAATCAAACAATATATATATATATATATATATATATATAATTTCCATTCAATTTAATCCATTAATGTCATACTTTCCATTGACATACGGCATGCCCGACATGTCAGTTGCGGCTTGTCCTTGTAGCCCATCGATGAGGGTTGTTAGCTGTTGCACAATTTTATGGTCCTCGCTATAGCTCTCGTAACATCGGCCCCATCTAGGATCTCTACAAACCTACATATATAAACATGCAGCTTTAAAGAGGAATTATGTAGATATATGAGAAAACTTGTGCAAGAACACTTACTGCGATGCAGGGTGCAAAAGCATAAGGAATGCCGGTTGCTCGAACTTCGAATGCAGTCGCAGCCCCGATCGCCTTGACAAGTTGTGGATCCCTGGTGGATATATGAAGGAAACAAGATTCATACACGGTGATCAATTATACCAAATAGGAAATAGGAAACCTTAGATGCACCTAGTTACTCCGAGGCCAACATTATGGGGGAAAATGGTGGCATTGACAACATTATTATGGCCATGAACGGCATCGATTCCGTAGATCATCGGAATCCCGAGACGAGTTGAAAGAGCACCCTGTTGTATACGATTCACCATGTCCACCCATTCTTTTGCAGTAGCGTTTACCTTGGGCACGCTTCCTCCACCGCTCAAGACGCTGCCGATGAAGTAGCTGGTCATGACGTTCGCGGTGGCGTTTTCACGTTCGATCTGTGTCATTTGTCCCACCTTTTCTTCAAGGGTCATTTTACCCAAAAGGTCTGTAATCCTGGCCTCGATTGGCTGCATTGGATCTTTGTACATTGCCTGTTCTCCTTGAGAGATTGATGCTTGGAAGCAGAGAAACACAAATACCACAGGGAACCCATACTTTCTAGTCATCGTATTAGATCTCAAGCATCAGAGTTAAATACAAAAGGTAAAAATACACTCAATAATTAAGCATAGGTAGATTGGCATCGACTTATAAGGAGTACATCGCCTAAAGTATTACTCTACGTGTCTTACAGGGACCAAAGACCTGCAAAAATAGTGGAGTTTCGCCAACTGTTCCGCGCTTTGCAGGGGACAAACAAACTACTTCTTTTGAAGTAATCCTACTTTATATTACCAAAAATATGATTTCAATTATATGTAGAGAAATAACTGAACTCAGTTCTATTAAAAAATAAATACCAACTGAACTCAGTTGTGACTCTCTTAATATGTGTCGCTAATAGTATATTGCCACGTGTTTTAATGATTCTTTTTCAACCTAACCAAATAAATTTTAGAATTCAATGATGTTCCTAATTGGTTTCCTTTGGAGGATAATCTGAATTTTCTTTAAATCAATTTGAATCCTATCGGTGGATATAATATGACTCCGAAGTACTATTTCAATTAGCCAGGATTTCCACTTGCTGAGTTTAGAAAAAAAATACTTACGAATCTTGAAGGACGACTCGAAGATGTTTATAGCGATCTTTCTCATTTTTATAGTACACAAGAATATCATTGACGAAAATAACAACAAATTAGTAGAAATGTTATTGAAATAATCAATTCATTTTAATCTATAAAGATTACAGGTTCATTAGTGAGTTTGAATAACACAATTTGGAACTCGTAGTACCTATAACGACCTTTAAATGGAGTTTTACTCTTGGGTGTTCATCTGATATTATTTAGAGCATAGGTTGATCCTCAAGAATGTTGATGCATATTTTGATTGATAATATAATCATTGATTATTGGAAGAAGATAATTATTTTTTTGATAATGAACTTGTTCAAGTGGCCACTAATTAATATATAATCTTATCAAACTATTCATCTTTCTTAAAAATATGATCGAAGTTTTGTCCGTTCGAATTACTGGTGGCTTTAACGTCCCAATCATTCTCTGACGTTTGCTTTTAAAGTTTGAAAAATAGTTGCTAAACTACAGATCCTGCCTAAAATTAAGATCTTTGCTTGGAGAGTGGTGTATGGTGGGTTACTTGTTTGGTTAGCGGTTACGTGAAACTGGCTTAAGTAATGGTCTTGAGGAAGAGACCGTAGTTCATATTTTACGGGATTGCTTTTATGCTCATGTAACTTTTGTTTACGCAAATATGCAAGGTACGTTCTTGTCTAGTAAACTTGTTTCTCCATTGGATTGGTTAAAATTGGTGATTACTAATTTGGAACAAGGTGACCTTGTTTGTTTTCTTGTATTGATTTGGAATTGTAGACACACATTTTCATCTGATTTTTTATTATATATATATATATATATATGTTATAATATTATTTATTTATTATGTATTATAGTGTATTTATATTATATAGTATATACATATATATTATATTATATAGTATATACATATATATTATATTATATAATATATATATTATATTATATTATTATTTGTTATAGTATATTTATATTATATAGTATATATATATATTATATAGTATATATATATATATTATTTATTTTATATTATAGTATATCTATATATATAGTATATATATATATTTATTATCTATTATAATTTATTTATAACATATATATATATATATATATATATATATATATATATATATATATATATTTGTTTTTAGGTCTATTTTCGGTTCAAGTCCAACATCCAGGTGGTCCAGCAAGGAGTCCAACCAGGTAGCCTGACCCAACCCAAAATCCAAAGTTAGGGTTTTGTGTTTAACCAGGGCACCGTAAGAGAGGAAAACGGCAGTGCGTGTGGAGGCCACACACTAACAAGTTAGCCGAGACTTTCGGCCGAACGCCCGAGACTGAACCATCCTGGGATTTCTGGCCCAACGACGACCTCAACAGAACGTGAACAAGACGGGAAACAACCCTGGAAAGATCGGGGATGACCCAAGATCATCATAACCCAAACAACCGATCGAAGGCTATAAAAACCTCGTCGAGGAGGCTGAAAGGCAAAAAGGAAAAAACAGTCAAAGAAAACCCGATCAAACACAAAAATCCAGCAACGACCGAGAGCCAAAAGACAGTGAAAATCAAGCATCACCCAAAAGTCGGCCCAACCAAACAACCAAACCCACAACCGAAAGCAAAAATAAGTAAAGCAACCGAAAGCAAAAAAAAAAAACAAAGCTTGGGGCTTTGTTTCCTCAAAGGACGCCAGAGATCTTGTTGGGAGAGGAAAAGCCACCGGGAACTCGAAAAGACATCGGGTTAAAGGTAAAAATCGAATATTTGGTTTTAGATCTACGTCGTTAGAGAGTTTTTTAGGGAAATCGGGCTTCGAATTCGGCATTAGGGGTCGGGGGAATCGTTTTGGTGCGGTGTGGAACTTTTTCGGCCACCGGAGCGGCGGCCGATGCGACGACTTGCGGCGGTCGGAGGTCGCCGATTGTTGGCCAGCCATGGAGAGGGGGAGAGCGTTTGAGAGTGTTTGAAGGAGATGGGGGTTTGGTTTTTATTTAAAAATGAAATAGTTTAATTATTTCCACAGTCCTTGATATTTTGATGCACAATTCGTTTTGGTTAACTATTATAAATTGGATCTTGAATTTTGAATATTTTTCAATTTAATCCCCGAGAATATATTTTTATATTTTGCAATTTAGTCCCCTAACATTTTGTTTTTCTCTTGCAACTCATTGTTAGTATCAATTTGATCCATGAATTTCAATTTATTCCAATTTAATCCTTTAAGTTTTTTTAAAAATTAATACTTTTTTCTTTTTATTCAATTATTTTTTTATTACTTCCAAAATTTAACATTTCTTTCTTTCTTTCTTTTTATTTTATTTTGTTTCATTTTTCTTTTTAAAAATTAACATTTTCTTCACTTTTTATTTATTTCTTTTAAAATTTTAATTTTAAATTTCTTCATTCTTTTTTTTAATTTCTTCATTCTTTCTTTTATCTTTCTTTTATTTTATTTTTAAACCTTTTTAATTTTTTTCCTTTTTATTTAATATTTATTTATTTATTTATTTATTTATTTATTTTACAATCTAACATCTTTTTATATTTTAGGGGAAATTTTAATCGATCAAAGGTAAGTAATTAGAATCGAATATTTAAGTTTCAATTTAACTTTTAATTTTATCAATTAAGACAACCGAGAAATTAAATTGGTACCGAAAGGGCAGTACAAGGATGCTAATCATTCATTGACTGTAATTGACTCCCGAATCTGATACATTTCTGGTAAAACGCAAATCAGATAAGATGGTAAGTTAAGGTGTCCGATCAACCTTATTTCTTAAAAAATGATCGGTGACGGCTCTAACATGTTTTTATTTAAGTCGAAGCCGGATTCCGGTCCCACTCGAAGGACGACCACAATATTTTGGCGTCTCCGCTGGGAATAGGTAAGTGAGTTAGGCCAAAATTAATTTTCGGTTCTCTTCTTAAGCAAAAATTGTAAGTTTAAATTTTAATTTGTTTATTCGGTCCTTATTATTTATATTTGATTATTTTTTTTTTCAAATAAATAGTTGTACTGATGTTTTTTCAATGATTTCATCTTTTCAAAATTTCATCTCAGACTCTATACCCGAGCGCCAAACCCTTTGTAAGTGGAGGTGAAAGCGACGCCTTCATGAGAATATATTCTCCGTACAAGCCTAGCAAGTAACCTTCGGGACTCATATACCTTATGTCTTCATGTGAATTTATTCTCTGTACAAACATAAGATAATGAGTCCTCTCGAATTTAACTTGGTACACACAAGCTTATAATGAGCTTATGACTGAGGGTCTAGCAAGCCCAAGGGGCACCAGCAAAGAGAACTCGGGTACCTTTTTAGTAACAATTTTAATTTTTTAAAATGATTTCATATCATTTTTTAAAAATAATTCCATATATTTTTAATAAAAATAAATTAATTTAAAATATAAAATAATTAAAAAAAGTTTAAAATTATGAGTTAAATTTTAAAAAAATAATTTAATGATTATCTATAAATTGTTATTAAATTTATCAAACTATTTAAATTTTTTAAGTATTTTTGATTAAAAAATATATATGAAATTATTAAAAAAAATTTAAAATTATTACTTAAGTTAAAAATTAAATTTAAAAATATATACATAAAATTATTAAAAATTATTGCTTCTTTTTTTAATTTTCTTTTTCTTTTTTTTTTGTCATTTTGTTACAATATATAATTTAAATTCTGCATTTTAGTAAGCCTAGTGGTTCGGCCGTTGAATCTTAATCCATTTAATGTGGGTTCAATTCCCATTTAGCTCCTTTTGCTTGAAATCTTTATTCTATGGCTAATTTTCCATCCAATTTGATGGTGGCATGTGTCACCATTTGATTGGGTGGAAAATAAAATAATTAAATTTAAAAATCCTCTATTTATGTTGTGACACATGTCACAATATGATTAGATGATTAAATTTATTAGATTAAATTACAATTAAGATCAAATTCATTGAATGTACAAGTATTGAGGACTAAATATAAAATTATGTCAAATTCGCTAACTACCACATCAACATTTTCATGGACGTTAATGGCAAGTGACTTGATTAATTAAGTGATTTAAATGATAAAATTAAAAATATTAAATAATTAAGTATTGAACTTAATAGTTTACCCTTCTTTTGGTAGCCGTAATGATTTATTCTGTATAAATCCTCAAATTGTGTATTGGTAAATTTTATAGTAGTAATATGTTTTAACATAAACCTTACATTTTATTTCGATCCGAAATTTCATAATATTTCAAATTATATATATATCTATTGATTGATTAATCTGGATATAATACTACAGAAACAATGACGATCCTCTTAACCCAATTTATTTCGTTCGTAATCGTAAGGATTCGAACCTCTGACCTTGCTTTAAAGATTAAAATTAACTGATTATTATTTATTATTTATAAAAATAAAGATCATTCTTATTTTAAAATAATTTATTTATTATGAATTAGAGTTATTATTCCATGAAACTGTTAATGAAAAGGATTAATTCTACAATATATTTATTTGTTAAACTTTAAATTTTATCCATATTCTTTAAATCTTAAATTTAAACATTTTTAATAGTTCCTAAATCTAAACAATAAATATTAAACTCTAATATTTTTCCATTTTACTTGTACAATAAACATTAAAGAAATTGTAATCCCTAATATATTAGGGTTTTAAAACTAGTTTTGGGTTAATATTGATTATTACCCTTAAACCGAAATCATTAATGTTCTTACAATGGGTTGTGAGGTCAACAACAGTGACAATGGCAAAGCCATATAATCCCTCCTCACCCAAACACCAGCCAAAGAAAATGGTCTCGGTTACTTGGAGGTCTTTGATGCCTGTAATTATAATCTCATCATTCATCATATACGAAGAGTGGGTTTCATTTCCGTCTAGCAAAATCCTGCCAAACACAGCTTACAATCCTGATAAACAAGTCGGGAACGAAGATGATTCGCCTGAGGATCTCAAGGTTATGATGGTTGTTAACTTGCTGTTGCTCGGCTCTGAAGCTGGTTTTGCAAACCTCTATTTCAGACTGTTACATGTCCAAGTTTTTTAAGGTCAATTCTTTTTAATCCCTGTTTGCTTTCAGCAGTTTGACGTTTTTTAAGAAGTTTATTTCACATGCATTGAGCGATATTGGTCTTGTTTATCGAAATTATTTTCTGGGTTCATCGAATTATTTGGGGGAATGAGATAGTTTGGTTCGAATGTTGATTTGCAATTGCTGGATTGAAGGTGTGAAGCTGCCATTGGCTTATATTATATATAGATGTGAAAAGAGATGCTAGTGAAAATCTGAATCATGTTGATTAAAGAAAAGGAAATAGTTAAACTACAAGGTGATTTAAATGTAATTGTCCTATAGCGATATAATTTTACATGTCTTTAGTCACAGAATAAGCTTATTTTGAAACTTGGAACTTTAAGATATTGATATTATTTGCTGAAATGCAATGCAGAAATCTTTCCAGAGTTTGAACCCTGATATGCTACTAGTCTTAGGTGATGTTTCTGCAAAAGGGTCAGAGTTATCAAGAACCAAATGGTTATCGGTGCTTCATCAATTTGACAACATGTTGGGTCCGTTTCTTGACATCCTTTGCATGTTATTCTTGGTGATAGGGATGTCGGACAGTGTAGTGGTCTTCGGACAAATTCTGTTAATTGGATAGCTAGGAATTTTCCAGGGCTGGATTCATCTGGATGTGGTGCTTTTGAAATTAGCAATATCAGCTTTGTTTCACTTAATGCTGCGGCATTGCTTTGTGGTAACAATAAACTCTGATTTGATGTTGAGAAGGTAATAGAAAGGGAAAGTGTGGATCTACAAATGGAAATAAAAAGCATAGATGAAGCAAAAAATGATTTTGGCATGCTTAGGGAAGTCCGATGACTTTAGGTGGAGAGTAAATGCTATGAAATCCGGTTCAGGTCCTGTCCTACTACTTCATTTTCCCTTGTACCGGTCCGGAAGACCCATATAATGGAAGGTAGTACTTTGAAGTCTATTGTTGATCCATCAGGCAATGTTCCAGCTTCAACAAAGAGAAAGTAAGATTATCTTATCAGTCTGCAATCTATATTAGAAGTCTATCTATCATTGTTTTAGAAAGTCTCCTTTTTTTCTGCTTTTTTTATTCATAAAATAATTTCCTTAATGTTAAAAGTTGCATATTTGTAACCGTTTTGATATAGTATTGAACCCACTCTCTTAATATTCAGTTCCCACTGGCCAAGTAATTATAGATTGAACTGTCATCTTTCTACTGGTTAATCATGGTCCGGACCATCTTTTATTGGTGGGATCATGGGAGATCAAGGGGTGAATAGTGTTGTTAAACATGGTAATTTAAGCAAAATTTTGTTCACTTCTGAGATCTTGATTAGCATGTCATTCCTTTATATTTTTACTTCTGCTATATGTAAACTGAACTCATACTATGTAATATATTTTTACTTCTGCTGCCAAGCATTCTAATAAACTCTTTGAATGTTACCTTCCTTCAGAGGTTTTTCTGGGACCGACCCTTATGATCTATCACAAACTGTCCCGCCAAATGCTGCTGAATACATTTTCAATGCTCTTAAACCTAGGTAAGCATCCATTATATAATCTGCCAGGGGTTTTCTTTTTTCTTACCTTTGCACTTTCTATTGTTACCTAATTGTATGTATGCTTCTTGCTTTTGCTATTATTTAACTTTTCTCAACTACAGACTACCACTAATAATTTGGTTTTTCTCTTTTTTGGGCATAATTATATGCTTTGAGCAAGTTTGGCATCTTTTAGAATGCATCTTTGGGGAATTACTGCATTTTGGGTGATCAAATATCACATAATAGAACTTATTATTTCCTACTGGCATCTTTGGATATGGCTGCAGGTATGAAAGCAATGTTGATAAAGTAACTACCTACATTATGAATTTTGGGCAGTGAAGCAAATTTGCATCTTTGTCTTTGTCTCTGATTTTTTCCTTCTTGTTACAGAAATTTCTATAGCCTAAATAAAATGCTTTCTAGAATTGGTATGGAAGTGCAATTTATGTTGTCACATCAATTGCTCCCTTTCCTTTTTGTATGTAGGATTATTTTTAGTGCTCACACACATGAATTTAGTGACCACACTCACCCTGATGGGACCCAGGAGGTAACAATCCTAGCCATGACATGGAAAGTGAGGGATGATCCACATTTTATCGTTGCAACCTTTCAAAGGAACAGAAGTACAGTATGTAACATATTGATCAGTCGCTAGGGAATCTCATATATTAATAGCCTATACTTATTCTATGGTTCTGTTTGTATTCTTTATTATAGTATCAAATACACTAGAATTGGAACGTTTAAGTTGATGTTTCTAGAATACCTCCCAAACATTCTGTGTCGTGCATTATTCACACCAGTGCTACATTTTTACTGAGCAAACAGAATTAACATAGTTGGTGATTTGACTACATAATCTTATCAGATTTCAGGGGCCGCTTTAAACAAAATTTCTGTTTAGGTACAAAACAAAATTCTAATGCTAGTTCGAGTGCCCATTAACTTCATAATTTTTTTGTCTGCATAGCTGATTGTTGTTTGTGAAATTGGAATGAATTTGTTTGCAACTTATACTTGCATGATGAAGTGCTCGAGGCAATATCTATTTGACTTGTAGCATTTGCAATTTCCTATCTAGTGATGCCCGGCTTGTTGCCTACTCAAATTAGCTAGAGAGTCTTTAGCCATCGACTGGGTTAGTTTTCAGTCCCCTCTTCCCGTGTGATGTTAATTCTGATAGCCTTTGTTCTCTTCATTCGAGATAAAAGAACATTCTTCTTTAACCACCAATCCATCGTCATTGGCTCTGCTAAGGTGCTCAGTGCTCTCAAGGGCCAAGTTCAACGGTTTTTCCCTTTTCGTGCCTATAGCAACACTGCATGCTTTCTAGCCATCTTCTCACTGACTTTGGTGTCTTATCTCTGAAACTGATACAAATATGATAGGTTTTGGTTTCCTGTTTAATATGGTTTCTGGAATAATTTTTGAAGTAGAGTTTTGTTGTGAAAACAGTACACAGGAATTTGTAGGAACAATTTGAGTTGCTGAGCCCATAGCTGAAGTTGAAAACCTCTTGGCCTTTTATAGAATCTGTAAGTGCAGCCAGAGTAGCCGGAAGGCGGTAGAGCACACACACTCATGTATGTCATTAGTTTTCTGATGAAACTTTGTGGATAACTAATAACAGGCAGACTCCTGCCCGCATTGAAACATGCATCCTACCATTAAGTCATTAATCTGTTGTAAAGAATTGCCTCTCCTAGTTTGTTTGCTTCTTGGTTTCGGAATCGGAAGTAGAGCTATCCTATTAGTACAACGTAGATCACCTGAGTTATGATCACCAAAATTGATGGTTTCTTCTAGTTTAAGTCCTCCAGCTTTTTTCTGGATAGCTGGCCAAATGCTTCCTACATTCTGGCCGCACTTGACAAGAGATACATGTAGTGGACCTTCACAACTCTTGTAATGCGGGTGATGGACTTCTTTTCCTTCCTTGTGAGCAACAAGTCCAGATTTATCTCTCTTTGGTTTGAACAACTCCCATAAAACCACCTGATCCGTGTCGTCCATTAAAACTGAACATCTCACCGTTTATTACATTTTTTGTGTATTAAATGTTGTGTTTTTGTGCTTTGTACAAAATTGTCAAATGTTTTCACAAATCAAAATCTAGACTGATAGGATATTGCTACTTAATCATAATGGACATGGATTCCTTGAACCCTAAGAGAAGAGCATGCATAATCACACCCAAGCTATCTATTTGTTTACCGATCAAAGCATGTTACCATTTTCATATCCCGACCATACGAGCTCGACAACGCTCATGTATTTTTCTATTGAGGAAGTGCAGAAGTGGTAATTGAAGAAGGCAATCACCAAAATATTTGTAAACGAAAACTCAAGAATTCTGTGAGACTGATAGCTTAATCAGAGTGGTGATATGACTGATAACTTAGACACAACAGATTTCTAAGGTTACTGCTTTGAGTTTCTGGTTCTCATTCTTTTAGCACAATTTGTTTTTGCTAATATGTTCTTTTTTTGTAGATGAAGAAATAGCATTGTAGGGAATACAAAATCATTGCTCATAATTTGCTAGAGAGTGATTTTCAAACGAGACAAGATGGCTTTTTTTTATTGGATAGCAGGATTAAAGGTAGACAACAATGATTCATTCTGTAAAATTTCCTCTGTTTTGAGGAGCGGGTCCTTCGTATCATATGATGACTGTGATCTCTGATTCTTTCTCTCCGATGGTTAAGAAATGAGACCCTTCTTCAATAACCATCAAACCCTCTTCATCGGCTATGCTAAGATGCTTACAAGGGCTCAACTCAAATTCAACATCAGCTCTTTCCCCAGCACTCAGAATAACGCTCTGGAATCCAATCAGTTGTTTCACTGGCCTTCCATTAGTGGCTTTTTCTCGCCTGACAAATAGCAAAAGTGGATGCTTACCAGCCAATTCCCCATGGTTTTGAGCTCTAACTGTGATTGGGATTCTCTTATCACAAAGTTCTCTTCCTATCTCTGAAACTGGTATGTATTTGAGAGCATTTGAGTTCTCAATCTCAACCTTTGGAGACTTTAACTGATTGTTTAAGTAGACCTTGTTCTGTGCTACAGGGAGAAATTCATAAGAATAGTTTGAGTAACTGAGACCATAGCCAAATTCAAAAACCTTTGGTCCTTGGTAGAATCTGTAAGTACGTCCAGGATAGCCTGAAGATGGATCAGAACGCATTCTCATGTCTGTCATCGGTATTTTAACGTAACTCTGCGGATACCAAGTCAGCGGTAACCTCCCTCCTGCACAGAAATATATATGAAGCACACAAATTTGTTAAATTTATCATCAGTATAAGAATGTTGTCGGACTTCTGTTAGCATACATGATCTGAGTGATAGTTCACCTGGATTATGATCACCAAATATGATTTCTGCTAATGCCTGGCCTCCAGCTTCACCCGGGTAACCAGCCCATAGAATACTTCCGATGTGTTTATCATATTTGGCAAAGGTTATATCTACTGGACCTCCAGAAAGAAGCACCAAAACAACCGGATTCTTAGCAGCTCTCGCGAGAGTGGATATCAAGTTCTGCTGCTTTGACGGGAGAACCAAGTCTACACGATCGAGTTCTTCCCGCTCTTGGGTTTGATCCAATCCCATCACCAGCACCACATATTCTGCTCCTTTTGCTACTTTCACAGCTTGATCAGTCAAAGGATAAGAGCAGTTAACTGCATTACAACCTGGGTGATAACTGATGTCCTTAACATAGTTTTTCAACCCTTGCAGAGGTGTAACGGTTTTACAAGGAGGGCCTGCATAGTTACCAAGTAGTGTTCTTGCAGAATTGGCATTAGGGCCTATTACTGCAAGGGAAGTAGTTTTCACTTTTGAAAACGGGAGGAGTTTGTCGGTGTTCTTTAGAAGGACAATGCTGTTGCAAGCAGTCTCGAGAGCAAGATTCTGATGCTTTTGGGAACAGACTTGGTCTGAATTAATTTTGCCAAAAGACTGGTTAACTGGATTGCCATTGAAAAGCCCCAACCTCATTCTGACAGAGAAAAGGTTGTGAAGGGCTCTATCTATTTCAGATATAGGCAATTTTCTCTTATCGACAGCTGATTGGGTGTAGTTCTTCAAATAGTTGCCACAGTTGACATCCATTCCTGTAAATTCATGGACCAAAATGTTGAAATGATGCCACTAGCATATACACAAACAATAACCGTTTTTAGAAATTTATACATTGTTTTTTTTGGGGGGTCATATTTTCCTTTTTGTCCTGACATTGCCAAGCTTTTGATTACTAAAAACTAGCATATGAGTGTTCAAAATACAGAGTTAATGGCAACAAAGCTATTCTTGTGCAAAACTACTCGACGTGGTTCATCAAAATTTATGGAAAAGAAAATAAATTTCACTGGAATTTTGAGCTATAAAGCTGAAGAAAACCCTGGTTTGTACTTATAGTCCCATCTTAACCTGTTCTTTTTGAGCAAGTATTTATGTTGAATTTTTTAATGGGGCCTCTTGTGTTCCGCAGATTTCTACAAATGGAACAGAGTGAAGTTACGGTACTGTTATGGAGCATTTTTTGTTGGGAAGGACAGAATGAGGTACACAATAGTAGTATTAAGTATTAACCTTTTGCAGCATTTCCATGAACTATACTTAAGTTGCTCACGACACAAATATCCTAGTCTTGTAAAATTCGATTCACTCGATGCTTATTTCGCTGAAAAAAACAGATAGATGCTTATTTCCGGTTTTTAGCCTTAAAACTACTGTTAGTTTTCTGTTGTTTCCTTAGAAGTGATTATTGAGAAAGATTTTTATAACTACTTAGTTTAAGAACATATTGTTTTCTTTTGTAGCTTGTATTCTATTAACTTTTTACTATCTTAATATGGTGAAACATTCATGGTTAATCATAAGAAACAAAAGAATAATTTCTTACTTGACCAGCTGAGTACTTACAGAGCACATAAGATTAAACTTTGATTTCTGATGTTAATAATTTCCAATTTTCAGCATCGATATAGTTTACTCGGGAGAATCTTGTGCTGATGCATGGATTGAAAAAGAGGTTTGAGATGACAACTAGCTGAGAATTTGAATTGTTCTGTTACTGGTTATTTAGCATATTTGGTTTCATATATATAGGAGAATAAAAGGAATGGCTTGCATCATTTGTCATTATCCTTTTTTCATGTCACATTATAGTGAGGGTTTTACTTTACACTTTCTTCAATGATAAGTTATATTAAACTACAAATTGTGTTATTGGACAACATGGAAAAAAGAAAGCAACAAATCATAGTTTTGATTAGCTTGAGAATCTTCTAGGATTATTATGAATGGATGATACAATATCATCTTATTAGTTAGACATGCAGCATATCCTTCCTTCAACCTTTTTTTTTATATAAAAAAAACACTTCTTAATGTTGAGGCCTCCAGGTAAATCATACTCAGTTAGTTCTAGAGATGCTGCTGCAGAATATGTTAGAGAGAATTGGAGAGGCCTCATATAAAATAAAGTCGCTTCACCTCTTCTAAACTTTATGCATTAGGGGATAGTTTCAGTTATTCATCCAGCATTAGGGGATAGTATCAATTATGCATTTAGAACTGTCTGCCCTGTAAGTTATTCCTATATATCAATTAACAAGCAGTGCATGGTATGAATGAATAGGAATATGCTTTTTTAACATCATTTCTTGCTTATTCTATTCAAGCAAGCCACACTTTAATACCCGCATTTGCTTGAAATTGGAAAAAAATGAAAACATGTATGTCCTCATTAAAGCTTGATTAAATGGGATTTGGCTTCTTTGGCCTACGATAATAGAAGTTGGTAAGTTTGCAGCACGGACCAGGAAAAGAAAGCAGGCTAGGTGAAAACCTATATGCCCTCAGCTATTATCTTTTGTAAGTCTGAACATTGTACAAACTTTTGATGGTTAATGTTATACTTCTTTTTGTTATGTAAGCTAAACAAAGAATGTAAGCTTATAAAATTGTATTCGATATGGATGAGTTCATATATGTTATTCGGTATCTTGGATAGTCTTGTCAAAATTATCGTGGCTAATTTCTGTTGCAACAGTTGTTCGTAGTTTATGACTTACAAATAATGTGATAATCTTGTCATTAACACTCTTAAAATCACAGCTGAAAAGGTTTTCAAGATATTGGATAATAACAGTCCTCTTGAACACGCTGCAGTTCCAGACTTCCAGGTAAGCTTGGAATCCAATCAAAGTTCAAGTAACTTCTTGATTTAAATACATTCATATGCCAAGACGGGTTATGTGACAAAATAGGACAGTAATCTGTGACATCCCACGTGTATACATTTACAGAAATTATAAAAGAGGAAATAAAGTTCTTGTTTCAAATAAGAAGCTTGCCTTTGTGAATAAAGCAATGTTTCTGACAAACAAAAGTAACTACAGAAGTAAATCTATGATTCATTAGGCAATTTAATCACCTTCAATTGAGTAGTGGGTGCACAAATACTAGCCCAATATCTGATCCAGAAATCTCATTTTGCTTCGCAGTTGCAAGTAGTTCCTCTGTCAGAGCAATCACCTGCATGCCAAGGTTTCAACACAAGAATACATCTAAACAAGATTATATATTAATAAAAAAATAAAGGGTGAATTTTATCATATTTCGAACTTAGAATCTCAAGATGAACATCGCAAATCAGGTGAATGAGAAGCAGGCTGGCCATCACGATACATAGTACACCTGCAAAGGAATCAGTATGAAAGTGATGGGTAGCTTGCCAAAGCTATATATTTCAGAAATTTCTTTTTCTCACTAAAGTTCACATTCTGCAGCTGTGAACTCTTTTAATATATGAACCATCCTCACCTTTTCAACCCTAAAACAAAAAAAACCTCCAGCAATGCCATTACCATTAGCAGTTAATTGATGTTGCTTCTTTTAGCTACATGTCGATTCCTTCAAAAGAGGGAAGGAAGAGAAATGATATTTTCATCACCTTATCAAAAAACTTCACATCTTAAAATACACCCACAATCTAAAACTGATATTTAGATCACTTTTTGGTGCTGGTAAGTCTTGGATTCACTCGAAAGAATAATCAATTATATCTTAGATAAAGTATGTAGAATTAAGTATAAATATAAAAGATAAATAAATAAATTATTGTATATAGAAGATATAATAAATATTATATCTTAGATAACAAAAATAATTTACATCTTTTTATTATTATGAATATCTATGATAAATTATTGTATATCGAAGAATGTAAACCTTGTCGATTGAAAAATACAAGAAATCTCCTAGTGAATGTGTCACGTATGAACCGAAGCTAGTTTCCACAATGTAAACATTTAGTTAAATGTTGATGTAAAATTTTAATACATTTTTACATAAATTATGTAAAATTTAATATTAATTAAAATAAAAATAATACATGATATATTTAAAAACTCACGTAATATATTATCAACAGATAGAATTTTTATATAAATAAATTTTATTTAAATATTTAAAATTTCACTTGTTAAAAAATATAGACCAAGGATAATTTAGTAAAATATGTATTCTAGTAATCTTTTATTCCTTCAACCAAACACTGTAATCTTACATTCCTGCCAAACTAACCAAATACAGTAATGTAACATTCCCAGTAATCCTATTCTCTGGTAATCTTCTATTCCCACTGGTAATCTTACATTCCGTGAACCAAACGCACCCTGAAAGATGCAAAGCATACTCAGGTGGTACGTTTGAATATAAATTTCTTTATATTACTTTTTTATTTTACTATTTATGCTTACCTTAAAGTTTTATTTGTGTATATCTCCTACATAAAAAAATTAATAATTAATATATGTGTGTCCATCTTGAAAAAATATTTTTGTATTCGTCATTGAGTACACATGTCTAACTTTAATGGCTTTGATTACTCACCCAAACTTATTATCCGATCCCCATCCGATTCCGACCATTAAACACTAATAAGAAAATGGTAAATTATAAATTTCATCACTTAACTTTACTATTTCGCTCACTGAGTTTTAAAAGTTTTTAATTTCCTCACTGAACTTAATAGATTGATTTTTTTTGTTATTGAACTTTACTCTCTCTTCTATTTTGGTTACTCAGTTGTTAAATAGTTAACGACATTAAAAACGACGTCGTTTTAGAAAAACAAAATTTTCACTAAACGACATCGTTTTGCATCTATATAACAGTCCATTTTAACGTCATTAACTATTTAACGACCGAGTGACAAAAAACCTAACGTATTAAGTTTAGTGAGAAAATTGAAAAGATTTAAAATACAGTGAGTGAAATAGAAAATAGAATAAAGTTCAGTTATCAAATTTGTAATTTACCCTAAAATGGAAATAAGACATTTTTTTCCACTTTTAATCCTACTTGTTGGCTTTTATATCAGCTTTTCATTTATTGATTGAAATGGCATTCCGTGATTATTGATTGATCTTAGAGATGATGTACTAAACTAGGAAACCACTTTATATGTTATCTGTAATAATCTTCCATAAATTCAGTCTACCTTTATATATGATTTAGATTGCAGTGCTTTGGAATTAACCAATGTTTTGATCCTGATCCAGTCATCAGGGGGACCATTTTTTGTTGTCCTTTAATGGTGATGCCGTCTCTTTGTTTGGCATCCTATAGCTAATGACATTGATTTATTACTCTTCTGCTCATTGTGAACATTATAAAAACTGTAGCTTTCTGGCTTCCATTTTCTACAGTGGATCTTCTCATAAGAGAGTATCAATGAATTTTCTCGGATTGGAAGCATCCTAAGACATTGTTTACTTGGAATTTCACACCTTGCTGCTAATTGCTTAAACTTCAATATTGATTTTTACTAAGGGCCAATCAATAAATATCAAACATATGTTAGAACTTGGCCACATATTTTACTGAACCGACGACTGGAAAGTGCATAAAATAACGAGTAAGGTATCTTAGGATATTTACATCTTATCTTCTTGATAAATTATTATTTATTATTATTGGAACCTGTGGCCTAACAATTTTGGTGATGTCAGAATTAAGATGCACGATGGCTCTGTTCGGATGTTGAGTGGTGTTCGACATATCCCAGACTTGAAGAAGAATTTGATTTCCTTGGGCACTTT